CGGGGCTGCTGTCCAGCCCCCTCTGGAAGGCACCCGGCCTTCTTATCCCCAGTTCAGTTGGAGAGATCCAGGTTTTATCCGATGACTTTGTTTCCAGCCCTGTTTCTCTCTCTGTTTTTACCCCCATCATATTTTAAAAACAAAATAAAAACTGGTGTTTGATGGTTAGTTTTCATTGTTGTTAGTTACACTGAGTGGGGTGTAAGCACAAGGTATAAATATTTGTAGAAGCGATTTCATTGTTGGTAGTTTCTCCTCCAAACAGACACTGAGTCTATTTTGAGACTTGGGGGGGGGTGTTAATGCATTTCCTAGTTTTCTTCTTTCCAGTCATTGGCCCCATTCTGTACAGCCCCCCCTCCTCCTGCGCCCCTATAGATGCCTCTGCGTTGGTAGAGGAACAGTTAGTTACCTGATCTGGCAACTGAGAGCGATATTTCGCACATTGATCCCCTTGTCTACAAAAAGGGAAGTGGTGATAAGCTGGTCAGACTTTCCAGTGCCATATAGAGGAGCCCTGTGTTGTACCTGCAGCTGCCCAGTTATCTGCTCAGGCAAGGTGGCTTAGGCTTCCTGACCCCGCTGGTCTTCCCCGCTTTGCCTCTGGTCGTGTTCCCAAAGAGGAACGTGACCCTGAATCCTTGACGGGCCACCCCTCTCACCCCTCTCTCTGAAACGGCTGCCCCCCTTTTAGTCTCGTCGGAGTCTTGGGGGGGGGGAGGATGAAAACCGTCATCCTCTTCCTGTGCCTGCAGCTAGTTGCTGACACTGCCTTTTAAGCAGCTTTCTTAGCTAACCCCTCACTTGCATCCACCCTGTCCACCATCATCACCACTGGAGCAGTGGGATGAGCTGACGTCAGCTGGTCCCCCCCGGGGGTCTTCCTCCCCCCCTCCCGCCGCCTGCCCCCCTCTCTCTCCCCTTTAGATCTGCTTTCCAAGTGTTCCCAGTCCCTTGCGCCTCCCTTTCCAATCCATGCTCCTCTCCGGTGGGGGTCACAGAGATCCGCACTCGGTTCCTTCCTCGGTTGCCACCATGGGGGGGGGTTGGCACCCTCCACCCAAACCCAAACCCAAACTGAGCGGTGACTTGTCCTTGGCGAGAGATTTCTAGAGGGTGCCTCCGCAGACTCGCTCAGCCAGCTCCGATCACAACGCGCGTGTGTGGCTCAGGCAGCGGCGTGGTGTCGGGATCAAAGGGAGCCGAGGCTTCCAGGAGGCGTCTCTTCTTCTTCTTCACAGGCCTGTCATTTCCTTGGTTTTTTGTCTGTTGTTGTTTTTTTCCTGAGAGAGTTTATATTACATGTGTGTTTGTTTGGAGGTGATGCCCTGTCCTGATTTGTGCATTAGGGGCTTAACTGGTGTTCAGCATCTAATGGGTGTGTGTGTGTGTGTGTGTGTCTGTTTCCTGCTGGCCCTCTGATTATGGTAATTGAGACTCCTTCACGGCAGCGAAGCCCTAATTAAAGGCTTATCCTCCTCTCTGCCCGGCCTCCGCTGGGTGGGGCAGCTCTTCCCCATCCTGGGGACCGAGCAGGAGAAAGCCAGGCAGATTGCGAGTTTGGACCGGTGGCAGAGTGGCTGCTTTTTGCTGCATCAACAGGCGCGCGGTGGGCCGTATCCTGACGGTCGTAGCTCCACAGTTCAGGACCCTTGGCGTGGTAAAAAAAAAAGAAACTTGCCCCACACTCTGGCAGTAATTAATCGAGAGCCGTGTCCCTCTGATTGTGCATCAGAGTGTGCGGATGCAGCATAGATGGTGGGCTTTCCGAGTCCTGGGCATCTTTCTGCAATGGTTCTCTTGGCACCGGGCCCTCCCGCGTTGGCTGGCGGCTTGGGAGTGCTTCTCGATGAGGGACTGGAGGGAGGGGCTCTGCTTTTCTAGAAGCATGTTGAGTGCTAGCAGGAGAACGGCATGGCCCCT